CGTAGACTTGTGGTACCTTGCTTCATGCATTGTGTTTTAAGATCCCTTGATTTTAATTTTAATTTCTACACAGTATTCCGCTGAGAAAACTGTTTTGAGGACATGTCACAGTTTTAGTCATCTTTCTATTCATACAGAAACATAACATAAACAATTATCATGTACACTTGCAGCTACAAAGTTACGATATATTGCATCACCTACCGGTATGTGGGCAACAACATATCAGGAACAATTTTAAACAAAGCAAACAACCTCCAAAACTTTACATTCCCAGACTGGCAAAAACAATGTCACAGCAAAATTAAATTTGTAACAATAAGAATGTCTCTTTGTGTAAGATGCCTGGTTGTGAAAGAGACAGAATTAATGCCCTTGTCTGAGGAGGTCTCGCTGGTGGAGGTAGAAAAAACAGAGTTGGTCTCAAGGCCAGACACATTGTTTCAGCTTTGTTTACGTTTCTGGTTAAGATGCTCCCAGGAGCTATTGGCGAACTGTACATAATCAAGACTAGATCAGACAATCCAGGCACTGATATCAGGAGCATTGATCTATGGAATTCGGATACAATAACATGCATCAAACATGTCAGGTCAGATGAACCTGATCAAGTGAATCCTATATCTGTATCTTACCAACAACATGGGTTGCTGAAGACCTCTTCTAACATGGATCTTCATGGGAGCAGCTTTCAGGGACTGCGGAATAGCATGGTGGTTGAAGCGGTGGCTTGTCATGCTTAAGACCAAGGTTTGATTCCTTATATTGATGTCAACTTTGGCCCTCACGCAACACTTCAGCTAGGTTACCTTCCAGCCCTCGTTCACAACTGCACAATAATGCTAACACCTTCAAGCACTACACTGCACTCAGGTTGTCACAACCTGACCATGTTTATATTTATCACACACACTAAGGACTTGACACTTATATAATACTCCTTCAACTATATTTAGCACAGTGTATTGAATCCCCATGTGTGAGTGAAACTGGAATTCAGTTTATTGACTGACCAGATAGGCCCATAAAACAATCGTTTACTATGTTTGTGTATGTTTTTTTCAAACAATGCATGATCAACACACAGCATTACTTTGTAGTCATTTTGTCTTGTAGACATCAGCGTATAACTGGACACAAGGATGAAAATCTGTAAATGTCATATGAATATATACTGCACAAAAGTTAAGGAACAGTTTTCACATTTCAAGCAAATCAATCTTGACAACAAGAAAATACATTCTTGATCCCGAAGTTTTTGGTTCAGGATACATATGACTTAATTCAATTAATTATTGCAAATGACCACAAATAGAATCCATTTCCTACACTTACAGTAGACCAGGTGTAGATGTTACAAGTTAGAAGAAGTTTACTTCCTAAAACATTATCAGCTCCTGGTGTCCTGATTGAAACAGTTCCCCACAAATGTCATGACACAGGATGGCTGACAACCCGAGGATGTGCACAGCTGTATTGAAGTATGAATGGAAAACATCTCTATGAGGCAAAACTAGCAGATTTTTATCCTAGTTGTGTCAAATTTAGCCTCACCATTCACATGTTCCAAGTGATAGCACATGCTTGAAGTGAGGAAAACTACTCATCATGGCGGCAGTCCGCTTTCAGGCAACATCATTAAATACAGTTTCATTTTATGTTCAATAAAAGCTCTACAGTCACCGGGACATTGGTTTTCTGTCTAACAATATTTCATTCATGTTTGTACTTTCAGTAAAAATAGAACCAGGTTAGAACTAGACTACATTCTGTCTCACAGTATTATTATCCTTTCTGCCCATCCCTTTCTGAAACGCTAAGGCTGTTAGTGCAGCAAGTCTAGATTTCCTCAGGTTCAGGTCTGAATGTCCCATGTCACTCCAGGTCGTTTTGAATTAATATGATATGTTTATTTGAATCAGAATTGTATATATACAGAGTGAGTGAGTTTAGTTTTACGCCAATTTTAGCAATATTCCAGCAATATCATGGCAAGGGAAAGCAGAAAAAGGGCTTCACACATTGTACCCATGTAGGGAATCGAACTCGGGTCTTTGCATGATGTGCGAACGCTTTAACCACTAAGCTACCCCACAGCCCCATATATACAGAGGCTTAGAAGTGTTAGTCTATCCTGGTTGAATAAAGGGATATTCAGGGCTATTTAGGGTGGTCACACTTGCAAACTTAAATGATTCACATCATCTTATCCCAGCTTGTGTAAATGTCATGTATATACTCCTTGCAGGTAATATATCACTTACAATGTTACAAGATCATAACTAAAATTATACACACTTTGTAATAAGGAACATATTAAGTATAGTCATATGAAATTGTGTGTTCTGTAACTTCTTTCCAATAGTATATGTTGCTATGCAATCCGATACTCCCAGCAACACTTCCACACAGTCTCATCACAATCTAATTAACCGACTTGCTGAGAAAAATACTTAGAAACAGATCAATGTTTACACATTCATGGACCAAAAATAATTAGAGAAGGGTAAATCAGTAATTATAGACAGCAGGAAAATTGCCCTCATGTGATTGAGCCATCACAGAAGCTTCCCTTGGCACAACACATCCCCAAGCCAGATAGAAATACTTACATGTTAATTCTAACATCTTTTCACCCTTACTCATTTAGCCGACTCTAAGGTGAAGGTCATGATCGTGTAAAAAACAATCTAATGCTATTAAGGTGCGATAAGTGAGCGATGTGTGTGTTTTATATCTGAAGTCCACAATGGTTCTGATTTCTTTCCTGAAATGCTGTCCTTTAATTTGTCAACAAGAAAATTAACGAGATACTGGAGGCAAAGAACGATTGTGTCAAATTACAACCCAGCAAGAGAAAGGTCAAAGTTAACACAGCCGATGGATCAGATTAAGCATTCCACAGTCATGAAGGATGATAAAAAACATTGTTAGAACTGAACCCTTTATCTGACAATCAAATGTTGACAATTCAAAGTGCATTGATCAAAATAAAATAAAACCCATTGTAACTGGAATTCCTGCTTTTATACAACACAATTACAAGGATAGGGCCTGATATTCAGTGTTACATTTGTAGCCAGCTTTTCCAGCCATATGAAGATAGGAAGAAAGGGCTCCATATTTTGTGTGAATCTGGAGATTTGAACCTGGGTGTCCAGTGCGCTGATCAACATCTTAACCACCAGGCTGCCTATCTACTGGTGACTCTGCTGCCACAAGGAAGCAGCCCCTATCCCCAACCACTATCCTCCAGCAACTATCCTGTATCCCTCAACCACTATCCTCCAGCAACTATCCTGTATCCCTCAACCACTATCCTCCAGCAACTATCCTGTATCCCTCAACCACTATCCTCCAGCAACTATCCTGTATCCTTCAACCACTATCCTCCAGCAACTATCCTGTATCCCCAACCACTATCCTCCAGCAACTATCCTGTATCCCTCAACCACTATCCTCCAGCAACTATCCTGTATCCCCAACCAATATCCTCCAGCAACTATCCTGTATCCCCAACCAATCCACTATCCTCCCTCAACCACTATCCTGTATCCCCCTCAACCACTATCCTCCAGCAACTATCCTGTATCCCTCAACCACTATCCTCCAGCAACTATCCTGTATCCCTCAACCACTATCCTCCAGCAACTATCCTGTATCCCCAACCAATATCCTCCAGCAACTATCCTGTATCCCTCAACCACTATCCTCCAGCAACTATCCTGTATCCCTCAACCACTATCCTCCAGCAACTATCCTGTATCCCTCAACCACTATCCTCCAGCAACTATCCTGTATCCCTCAACCACTATCCTCCAGCAACTATCCTGTATCCCTCAACCACTATCCTCCAGCAACTATCCTGTATCCCCAACCACTATCCTCCAGCAACTATCCTGTATCCTTCAACCACTATCCTCCAGCAACTATCCTGTATCCCCAACCACTATCCTCCAGCAACTATCCTGTATCCCTCAACCACTATCCTCCAGCAACTATCCTGTATCCCCCAACCACTATCCTTTTACTGAAACTAAATTCCATCAAGTCATAATGATTGATTATGACATTAAAATTCATCAGACTGCCAGTCTGCAATCCTTGAGGAGACTGTTTTTCAATGTCTGGTTTAGGATCCAAACATGTGAGACAAAACAAGCACATGACTGCTGGCTGGGTGACAATTGTCATGCATACACTAGCAATACATGTGATTTCCATGTGATGACCAGTAATCACTACATACTGTTTACAAATAACAAAGTTCTTAAAACTCATATGTGATCTTGTGTGAATATTCATGTGCTCCAACGTATTGTTTTGTTGATCAAGATGTCATTGTTGACATCACTGTGATGTGAGACAGGAATGGCATCACTTGAGAACATATCTGAATATTGTTGACATAATTCAAAATAAACATATTTTAATTTGACAGTCATGTTTCTGATGGGGAGGATATATAACAATTAAGAGAAAAACTTTTAATTAAAACCTATTACACTCACACGTTTCACGAAAATCATGCAAGAATTTATGTCTCAAACCTTGGTTGGGAAATACAAGAACTCTGACACATGTTTCATATACTGTGTACATTGTATACCACACATGCTCATACAGTCATCTCCATATATCGCATCCAACAACTTGAGTCATCAGTATCCCACAATTCTTTAACTCATGGGTCATGCAGTTAAAACTGCAGTAAGTCCATGTGTTTAATTCAAACGACAAATTGTTAGAAGCTCTGGGAGAGATGTCAGTCTGCAAAACCCTCACAATAAAAACTGCAACCAAAATGTCACCTCAACTTATCCCTGTAACATAAACATACTGTCACAAATACATGGTAACACTGTAGCATCAGCTCCAGACAGGCTTCCAATGTAAACAAACATGGCCAGAACTTCAATGCTAAAAATACAAAACCACATCCATCCCAAATTTCCCAAACCAACATAACTGTAAATCCATCAAGACAAAAGTATACTCACTTGAAATTAGGGAATTAAACTTGTAAACATTGTCAACTCCATGATATATTTCACCTTTATCACAGACTTGCAACAGATTTGCTGAGTTTGCTAAATCTGTAAAAGGTAATTTAACCACAGCACAATTAAACTCCACCCTCATGGCACCTTGGTTGATGAACAAATTAACACACACACGAAAATAGACTCCCGAACATCCAGTATTCCGACAGAGCTCTCACTTCCGATGTTATCCTGCCCCAGTGAAGCGGTGCCTGAACACAAACAATTGACGTTTTCAACTCTCAAAGACAGCCATGAGAACAGAGTGTTCCGTCAGCAGGATGGGAAAACCCCATGTCCACGAAAACAGAGATTGGACACAGGTAGTGAGTATGAGATGGATACAGGCCGAGGCTCCAACAACACTTTCAAAAATAACTGCCAGAGAGGATAAAAAACACCATGCAGTTATCAGTGCGATGTATCAGATTACAGCACAGCACTTCCATGTGGAACTCTCCCACAGCAAGTCTGAGAGAGAGAGAGGGATGGATAGGCAGAGGAGGGAAGTGTTGAGAGGCAATTAATGGCAGTATGGTGTAACGGGGTGATGCTGGGACATCGATACAATCTACCATGTTCAGGGAATGATAGTGAAAAATGCTCTCTTAATGTGTCCCTAACCCTGAGTGATTGACCTGAAACTGATGATGGGATGTGTGGATGCAGAATGTCAGAGTAACAATCACACAATAAATTGTCCACTGTACTGCTTTGGGATCAAGTGTGATGTTTTCCTAAAGACTCACATTACTTATTAATGTTACACTTTTCACGGTCTTGTAAACATTTCTATAATACAACAAAAAGGGATATTTTATATTTGTGATACAAGAAATTACATATCCTCTTGAAAACACATAACATACAAAATGGTGAAATGTTAACATTTAAACATGTTAATGAAATAAGCTCTGAACAAAGCTTCCTATGTTATTTATTAATGAATTCCAAGATACAGAGGACGAGTTTTTGTATCTTGATTGATGATGGTAATGTAAACATACACAGTGAATTGAATATTCCCTAAAGACGATCACAAATCTTGCAGATATGATTTCACTATCAATGTATCTCATGAACAATAACTAAAAAATTACCTGAAGCTGTTGTCTTGTTATGAAATATTCACATGTTTTAAATCAGTGATTTGGCGAGTAATGTGGGCTACATTCCATCACACATCGCTCGCATCGTTTCCTCGTTGTGACACAAGCTACACTATCCCAGGATAGACTGAATCCTGCCACCAATTTCTTACCTGCCTAAATATTTACTCAGTCAAGGAAACTGACATAATGTTTCTCCTCCAAATACTTGTACAATCAACAATCTGTGAGCAAGTAGGTTAACTGTTTGAGGAACAGCATCCTTGACATACCTCCGACATGGCAGTACCTCAACATCAGCAGTCTACATGGAAGGTTCAGTAGGTTAATATGTTATGGAGCTAGGTAATTATGGTTTGTATACACCACCTGGTCACTGCCTGGACATACACCCTGTAGCCGTCACCATCACCTGACCTCTACATTCATCAGTGTAAACTATGGCAGGAGGTGATAAGGAAGAACTCCCTGGGTCAGTGAAACACAGGAAACAATGCTCTCTCATACACATGGAGGGAAAGGATGTCATGTATACCATGGTACTAATGTATCGATACGTTTTTAGAGTGGATACGGCATTAATAATATTTACTAATATATAATATATATTTCGCTGCTGCAGAAGCCTTTAAAGTCAAGATTGCTTTGGTTAGGATGGGCAGAAAATTCAATTCTAAACATTTAATGGATCAGCATTATGTTATCTAATTTCAGGTCTTGACAGAAATCTGTACAGGTCTTGACAGAAATCTGTACAGGTCTTGACAGAAATCTGTACATGAAGACCAATTGTATTACTATTTGATATCTCACGATAAGTTTAAGTTTGTATATTGATTCCAGTGAATGACACATATATAATTGAGGTATCAAGTTTATATGAAAAAGATTTCCCTCTGCTCCCATTTAGTAAACTTGGTTGAGTTCCTGGTTCAGAAACACGACTGCTATCCATCTCTCTAGTAGTGTACAATATTGATGAATAATTCCCCCGATGACAAGGAATAACACAATTACGTATACACCAATGTCAACATATCAAAGGATCCAGACAACCTGAACCATGAAGGAAATAAATATTTTATGCAAATGTCATCAAAACACTGACCAATAGAGTTCATCAGATATCAATCTGAATCTCTTGCCTCCGAAGACAACCCTGATATGATATACTGACAGGATGTTATCTGCACCCCTGTTATCGGACACACTTCAGATGTGTGCTGGCGTCGTCCGACTGTGTTCTGGGTGGACGGCCTGCGCACCTGTCAGATAGCCACCTGTGTACCTGCACTTCTACACTTACTACACACGATGCAGAGTAAGTGAGGGAGGTGGGTTTCATGCCACAAGTATGAAATCAGAAAAGAACCTTCATAAATAAGCACATAGTGTTTTCAGCTTTATGATGAATTACATACCTCTGTGCCTGGACAGCCACAAAATGTAACACTTCCTAAACATCCAGCTCATGCCACAACTACCTGCTTCTGAATGTTGCTGGTCCACAAACAGTTCTATGTTCCTGTGATGATGGGGAATAGGACAAGGTTACCATGTTGGTAACTTCTTTGAGTGGCATTAGAAGTTGGTGTGATGAACAAAGGGGAGAGTTCTCTAGATACACTTTATAATACAGAAGTTGTGTATCCATACAACTCTCCCTGTTGTTAACCATGGTTATTTTTAAATATGTAAAGAATCACAAATAAACGTTTTACTGCTACTGATACCATCCATCTGAATGTCAAACCACACCATAGTCTTTCTCACAGTCCCTGAACCACATTATTTTCCCTACTGCCTAGCCCTCCCTGCAGTGCTAAAGCCCTAAATGAAGTAAGTCTATATTTCCCCAGGCACAGAATCTCTGGTCTCCCATGGGCTCCTTTTCAATATAAATGGGTTTACTTCTAAATTATATATTCAGAGACTAAACGTAAATCTAACCACACCAACTCACAGACAAACCCTTGACGTATAACACTGCACCATTCCGTGGAAGTGTACACCTAACCAAATCAACATCTTCTACCAGAGAGATATTCTGCTGACCTGGCATATTGCACATCTCAGTCATGGCACCTGTCTGTGTGAGCGTGACACAGTGTTTCCATATACCGTACTCTGGTGTAAATGGGCTATAGCGTACATATATCATACAGCTACATATTTCAGTGTTCTCATATATCATACTGCAGTTGAAATGTGCTATGACTTACATATATCAAACAGGTATTTATATCTATTTGCAATATATTCCATATATCATAAAGTGTTTGTCTCTATGTGCTATAAATATCATGTATCATACAGCTGGTTATTTAAATGTTCTATATATTCAATGTTCATTTTTATGTATAAGATCTATATCATACTGCTATTTATCGGCATGTGCCATATGTACACATATTTCTTGTAACATTACCATATATGTCATACAGTTGAAAATATAGACGTCAAATAGACAGATCTTCAAGAAGGAACACAAATGTGAATCATGCTTCTGGACGTTTAATTAAATCATGAGCTGACTAGTTCTTTGTCTTTTGATCTCTCACATCTTCATTTAACTGCTGTCATCATTCATCCTCTCCCTTCTTCTTCCCTCCAAACAAAATATTTCCTTCTTCCTTCATTGTTTATCTTTAATTCTTTCCCTTCCTCAAATCCCTTTTTTCCATTTAGCATTTTTCTTCCATTCGTTTGCCTAATACTTTCTCTGTATCACACAATCATCTCATCTACATGTAAACCCTCCCTTCCAGAAATACCTCACATCCTTATCTTCTTTCTTGTAATAAAACTACACATTTTTCAGAATCATTAACATGTTTATCACTCGGCCTATCTTGATGCATTTGTCATACAACCGAAAATTCCACATTTCTGAAAATATCTCAACAGGTTTTTACATCTAATGCAGCAGAAACCTTGTTGACTTTTAATCAACAAAATGTGCCCCGGGAAAAAACACAACCTGTAGAATTTTTGGTGTTTAACCAGAGAAGTCACATGACATCCCCTCTACAACCTCGGACTCCCTAAGGGCAGGTATCCTACACATTCCAGCACAGATTACGTCTATCAGGTAGAAGTAATTATGCAATGGTCTGTTTTCGTCCTGCCACGTGGCACCTGTGTGAAGGGCTTTCTGCGAGTTTACTGTTATCTGATGGGAGATTACTTCTGCATCTGTGGATAACTCAGGGAGGTATGGTGCCAGTGGCGAATCAATTAATACAGGAATGAAGGACTGTTGGATGATGGTGGATGAGAAAACAAAAAGTAAATAACTATTTGCAGGTGGATGAATGAATGAATGAATGAATGGGCAAACAAATGAAAGAACGAAAAAATGACCCGATGAAATAAAAATCAAACTGAATAAATACATGCATGAATGAATTTCAAGCTGTATCAATCAAATTAAGGCACATAAATACTTTAATAAATGAATGATAGCTAAAAGATGAATACACAATGCCATTTAGAATGTGGTCAAATGTAACATGTTATATTTGGGATTACACATTCTCAGTGAAGTACAGATTCCAGTACTTTTGTTGGGTTGAGTCCCATCCGGATTCGAACCCACACCCTCAGAGTCAGGCACCTAATCGCCAGCTAGAAGAATAATATGATGGGATGAATGAGAGGTGAGGTGAAATTGGGTTTACCATCGTGCTTGAAAATATTTCGTTCATATGACGACGTGCATGCATGTGTATGTGTATGTGTGGCTGTTTGTACTAGACCAGACTGAAGCTGGTTTTATAGTGCTAGCCCACTGAGATACCATGCCGCAGTGAAGCATGAATACCCCACTCAGACACATTAAACTGACTCTGAGCCTACCAGTCCTTGTTGTACCCATTAATGCCGAGCGCCAGGCAGGGACCAACAAGTACCATATTTTAACATCTTTTGGTATGACGCGGCCGGGGATCAAACCCGCGACCTTCCGCTCTCTGGGCGGAAGCTCTAACCACTACACCACCGATGAATGACAGGGATGAATGATTGATTACTGGATGAATGAATAGAAAAAAAATGAAGTATAGATGTGTGCATTAAAATGATGTGAATGAATGAAGGAAGAAATGCTGAATGATTGTAGTTGAAAGAAATCGTTGGATTCTTGGCTTAATGAAAACATAATTATGGATTACAACTTGGAGAGAGATGGAGGAACCAATGACAGGTGGATGAATGGACAGAAGAACTGAAACCATCCATGGATGAA